TGGGGTGTCGGGGGAGGGGACGGGGTGCGGAGCGCGGGGGCAGAGGCAGCCCCCTGGGGCGGGCAGCAGAGCTCTGGTGGGGACGCGTCCCTGAGCCAGCAGCTGCCCCCACCCTGCCCGTGCCCCCCAGGCGCCCGGCCCTGCAGCCCCAAGTACTTCGGCCGTGATGCCATGGTGTGTGTCTGCAACGCCACGTACTGCGACACGCTGGACCCTGTGGTGCTGCCGGCCCCGGGCACCTACGTCAAGTACGAGAGCAGCAAGGCTGGCAAGCGGCTGGAGCGCAGCGAGGGGAGCTTCCAGCGCAGCCTGCACGCCCCAGGTACCCGCCGCGGCCGGCAGAGACAGGCCAGACCCTGCGTGTGACCTGCCATCACACTGGGTTCCCTCCCTGCAGATCTTGTCCTGACTGTGGACACGGCACAGCAGTACCAGAAGGTGAAGGGCTTTGGTGGCTCCGTCACTGATGCAGCTGCCATCAACATCCTTTCCCTGCCTGAAACGGCCCAGGATCATCTGCTCCACTCCTACTTCTCTGAGGAAGGTGAGAACATCAGGGGAGGTGGGGAGGGATGGTGACGAGGACCCTGCAGGCCTCTGCCTGGGCACCAGCAGGGCTTGGAGACCTTCTGTCCCACTGCTCACCTCGGCCTGTCCCACCCTGCTGTGCCTGGCAGGGCTGGAGTACAACCTGGTCCGGCTCCCCATGGCCAGCTGTGACTTCTCTCTCCATGCCTACACCTATGACGATGTCCCCTTCGACTACGAACTCACCCACTTCAGTCTGCGAGATGAGGACACAAAGCTGAAGGCGAGCAGCGGGAGGGAGCAGGGTGGGATGTGGGGTTGTGCGTGGGTGCAGGGACTCAGCTCAGGTGGTCCCTCTGCCCCCTTTCTGTAGATCCCCCTCCTGCACCGAGCCTTGGCCATGAGCAAGCAGCCTCTGTCACTGTACGCCAGCCCCTGGACCTCCCCAGCCTGGATGAAGACCAGCGAGTCCTTCGTGGGGAAGGGGACACTGAAGGGGCAGGCAGGGGACAAGTACCACAAGACCTGGGCTAACTACTTCATACGGTAAGGAGTGCCTGGAGTGAGGGGATGGGGAGATACCCAGGGGATCCTCAGCGCCGGGGAAGCCCCGTGGCTCACCCCTCTCCCCCACACCCAGGTTCCTGGATGAATATGCCAAGCACAACCTGACCTTCTGGGCGGTGACAGCGGAGAACGAGCCCTCAGCTGGGCTGATCAACAACTACCCCTTCCAGTGCCTGGGCTTCACGGCCGAGCAGCAGCGGGACTTCATCGCACGGGACCTGGGCCCTGCGCTGGCCAACAGCTCCCACCGCGACATCCGGCTCATCATCCTGGACGACAACCGGCTCCACCTCCCGCACTGGGCCAAAGTAGTGAGTGGGGCAGGGGGTCCGTCAGCACGGCGAGCTCCCACAGCGCGAGGGCTGGGGCGATGGCGCTCTGCCTCGTGGGACCCAGCAGTGACTGACTCCTCTCCCTGCCAGGTCCTGGAGGATGAAGCAGCAGCTCGCTACGTCCACGGCATCGGCATCCACTGGTACCTGGACTTCATTGGACCCATACAGGACACGGTGGTGCCCACTCATGAGCTCTTCCCCGATTACTTCATCCTGGCCACAGAGGCGTGCATCGGGGCCCACTTCTGGGAGAGAGATGTGATCCTTGGCTGTTGGGACCGGGGGAACCAGTACAGCCACAGCATCCTGACGGTGAGACCCCTGTGCCACCTGGCACAGCAGGCCCCAGAGAGGGTTACTGCTGTGCTCCTTCTCCCGTCGGCACCCTGCTCCTTGGGTAGACATCTGGGCTGTCCCATTGCAGAACCTGAACCACTTTGTGGCTGGTTGGACCGACTGGAACTTGGCCCTGGACCTGGAGGGGGGGCCCAATTGGGTCAAGAACTACGTGGACAGCCCCATCATCGTGGACACCAGTGAAGGCATCTTCTACAAGCAGCCCATGTTCTACCACATGGGGCACTTCAGGTGGGTTCGGGGCCTGGGCTCCAGCTCTGTGGCTGCAGTAGCAGCATGTCAGGAGGGGAGCAGGTTTGTTGGGAGGAGAGCTCTACTGGGGTCTGACTCCATCCCTGGGGTATCTTCGTGCCCGTGCAGTAAGTTCATCCCTGAGGGCTCCCAGCGTGTGGGGCTCGTTCCCTCCAAAGAGTCCAAGAAGACGGACCTGGAGTACACGGCTTTCCTGCGCCCCGACGGTGCCGTGGTGGTGGTGGTTCTCAACCGGTGAGCGATGTGGCTCAGCCCGCACGACCCCCTCCTGCCAGGGTCCTGCTGGGATGTCCTGCCATCCTGCTAGGCTTTGTGCACCGCTGGTGCTCGGGGGCTGCTGCAACACTGACCCCGCTGCTCCTTGCCCTCCAGGTCCCTGCAGAACATCACCTTTGGGCTGGCCGACACGGTTGGTCTCATCGCAGCCATGGCTCCAGCCAGCTCCATCCAGACCTACCTGTGGCGGCGGCAGTAACAGGGCTGGGAGGCCCATGGCTGGCCAGGAGCTGGACTGAGCCGGGCTGGGAGAGCCCACAGTGCCCTGGGCTCAGGCCTGGGAGTGCGGAGGAGGTGGCTCACCGCTGTCTGTGCCACAGCGGAGCTGAGCGCTCGGGCGAGCCGGAGGAGTGAGCCAGGCTGTGCAGTGCCATGCGTGTGCAGGAGGGCTGGGGGCACCAGTGCCCCTTGGGGTGGAGATCCCACAGGCTATGAATGCTGTTTTCTGCTGCTCCGACATTAAATGCTGATGCTGCCTCTATGTCTGCGGCTGGAAGAGAGACGGCCAGGTCCCTCCCCTGCTCCCGGGCACCATGGCTGGGTGCCGCCCAGGCACGGAGCCCATGGGATTCCCAGGAGCAGCATGGAGCACCTGGAGCCCCATGGGACACCCATTCTCCCTTGCCACCCCGTCTGCTTTCCTCCCTACAGCTCGCAGTGGGGTTTGCTACCACCGGGGAGGTGCTCCATGCACCAGTTTGCTTCCCAGTTTCAAGTGTGCTCTGCCTGGCAGGGGGTTGAGCTGAGCCCGGGTGCTCTCCCACTGCCTTTGAGGGCAGATCTAGGAATGGGCAGGCAGCTCAGGATTTACCCTGTGTGCAGATGCTCCAGGTCCTGGAGCAGGAGTGGGAGCAAAGTACATGAACGCCCGTCTTGGTGGAAGCCCTGGGCAGGGACTGCGGCCAGGCTTCAGCTCTCCCTGCTTTTCCTGCCGAGCTGGAGCCACCTGCAGCCCCACACTGGGCTGGGGGGACACGTGGATCACATCTCGCCCAGCCCAGGCTGCGGGGCTGGAGGCAGAACCAGCTCCAGGAGCATGGCAGCATGGTGGGCTCGGGGTACAAGTGAGCTCTGGATGGGGTCAGGGCACCTCCAGGCTTCTCCTGGGGCTTTGCAGGGGGAGGGATGGCGGCCAGGCTGCAGCAGCCTTGCCCTGGGACGTGCTGTCCCCCTGCTGTGGGGTGTCCCATCACCACTGGGGCAGAGGGGTACCCTGCTGCGGCTCGGGGTGCAGCAGGGGCTCAGTGCCCTCTGCGGAGCTAGGGCAGCTTGAGCAAGCGGGCATGGGGCCAGGAGTGGGTGCTGAGCGCGGGCACACCCAGGAAGGAGGGAGGGAGCGCGGCAGGCAAGGATTAGGGCAGGAAGGTCGCAGTTGCAGGCAGGAGGAGGCAGGGAGGCTGGGGCTGCGGGGCTGATCCGGGTCAGCCAGGTCGGGGCAGGCGGGATGTGGCCCGGGATGCTGTCAGGGCTGACAGCAGTGACGCTGCGTGGGCCGGGCACAGCCCAGCACCGGCTCCGGCAGCGCCCAGGGCGCCAGGTAAGTGCGTGACAGGGTCACCTTGGGAAGCTGGCACATCCTGTGCTGTGGTGCCACCGGGGCATCGCTCTGGGGCACGGCCACACTGGGAACCCACACCACCATGTGCTGGGGGAAGCTGGCTGTGCAGAGGGCCAGGAAAATCCCGTTCCTGCCTGGAGGCTCTTTGTGTTTGTCCACAAGAGGGAAATATTTCTCCAGGATGGCAGCGGCAGCGAGCCCCGCTTCCAGCATTGCCGGTCCCTGCGCAGGACTGCTTCTCCACCTGCTGCTTCTTTCTCAGGTTCTTACCAGCTTCCTTTAACGTTTTACCAGCCCTGGTAATAAAAGCTGATGTCTGGATGATGAATCGTCCCAGGATGTGCGCCCTTGTCCCTGTGCTCTGCTCAGCTCTGGAGGACCAACCATCTCCACGTTAAATGGAGAGGTGCTCAGCTCATTAATTCTTGTGCAAAGCGTTGGCTGATTTTGGGGCACACACCAGCTGGTGGCTGGGACAGGACCCCCGAGCAGCTGGCCTGCAACCAGCAAGGGCCAGCTCTCCCCATGCCCAGGGCTGAGGTCCATCCGCCTGGCAGGACACTGGAGCCACTGCTGTGGTCATCCCGTGGCTCTGCACCCTCAGCTCCCACTTCGGCAGCGATGTTTTTGGAGTCGTGTTCCCCATAAAGGCTGTTTAGCTGCAGCTCTGTGCTCCCAGGGTCCCCATCCCCTCTGGCCTGGCTGAGGGACAAAGTTTTCCCCTTGGGCTCCTGCTGCAGACACTGTGAGAAACCCCGGGTGCTGGGAGCGGCAGCAAGAAGCGGCTTTGGGAGGATTTGGTTGGGCTGCCCCGCGTCTCCTGTGCCACCACTCCGCACGGAGGTGTGTCCCTTCCCCTGGGTCTCACTTTTCCTGCTCAGCAGGAAGCTCTTATCAGCCTGTGGTGATAGGGACCAGCTCCAGCAGCCTCCGCAGTGTTTTTCGCAGCCTGCACGCCCCAGGTACCCGCTGCGGCCACAGGGCAGTGGGTGCCCCTGTGGGACCCCTGGGCACCACAACCTGAGCTGAAGTCTCCCTCCAGGGCTGCTGCTGACGCTCAACGTCTCCGCACTCTACCAGCACTTGAAGGGCTTCGGTGGGTCTCTCTCTGATGCTGCTGCCATCAACATCCTGGGGCTGTCGCAGCTTGCCCAGGACAACCTGCTCCGCTCCTACTTCTCTGAGAGCGGTGAGTGGTGCCAGCAGTGTGGGGCTGCTCGCAGGGCTGTGCCTGCTGCAGGGACGTTCGTCACCTGGGCAGATACTCCGGTGCTGCTGCCTGATGCTTTTCCCACTCTGCAGGGATTGAGTACAACCTCATCCGGCTTCCCATGGCTTGCAGTGACTTCTCCGTCCGCCCCTACAGCTACGATGATATCCCCCATGACTATGAGCTGAAGCACTTCAGGCTGGCTGAGGAGGATGTGAAGCTGAAGGTGGGAGACTGAAGCTGCTGCCACTGGCGCCCTGTCCCCTCTCTCGTTGGAGCTCCTGTGTGTGCTAGGACCCCCGTGCCTGGGTTCTACCAAGCCCCTTGCAGGGTGGCAGGGTGTGTGGGGACAGCCCATGGGAGCTGACACCTCCTCTGAGGCACGTCCTGGCACATCCCGGCTGGGACTGGCAGGGTGCAGAGCCGGGGCACCGTGCCATGGGGTGGTGCTCGCAGGCTGCCATTCCCCACAGAGGTCACTTGAGTTCTCCCATTCCTCCTGGGCTGAGACGACCAGTTTCAGGGGGCTGCAGTGGGAGCTGAGCCATCCCTCTGCCCCCTCCTGCAGATTCCCATCCTGCACCGAGCCTCGGCCATGAGCAGGCGGACGCTGTCACTGTATGCCAGCCCCTGGACCTCCCCAGGCTGGATGAAGAGCAACGGGGACGTCCGCGGGAAGGGGACACTGAAGGGGCAGGCAGGGGACAAGTACCACAAGACCTGGGCCAACTACTTCATCAAGTACTGTGCCCCAGGGCTGGGATGCTCGAGGACCAGGGGAGGGCTGGGGCGTGAGTTGGGGTGGGCAGCGGGTGGGCAGGCAATGCTGATGCTGCCCCCTCTTCCCTGTGCAAGGTTTCTGGACGAATACGCCAAGCACAACGTGACCTTCTGGGCGGTGACTGCGCAGAACGAGCCCCTCGCAGCCATCTTCACGCCCCCTCAGTTCCCCACTATTGCCTTCACCGCCGTGCAGCAGCGGGACTTTGTCGTCCGTGACCTGGGCCCTGCACTGGCCCGCAGCCCCCACCGCACCCGCCTTATCATCCTGGATGACCAGCGCATCCACCTCCCGCACTGGGCCAAAGCGGTGAAGAGCAAAGCCCCTCGCCCTGCACAGCTCCTCCCACTCCCTCTGCTCTGCACCCCACCAAAGCGTTGGGTTTTATCTGAAAATTAAGGCAACAGCTGCTCCCAGCCCCAAACGGAGCAGGAGGCAGACCGGGTCTGCCAGGGAGGGAGCCGGAGACGCTAATTCGGTAGCAACCGCCTCCATGTGTGCCTGGGTGAATCAGGGACAGGCGGTGGCATCTGCGTCCTGCCGGCCAGCACCCCAGCTCCTTCTCCAGGCAGAGTTTCAGCTGATTCGGCTTGTTCCTTTGCAATGCTGAAGAGCTGTTTGTGGGAATTACCTCAAACTGAAAAGAAAGAAAATTAAACCTGCCCCTGCCTCGAGTGAGGCCGGAGCCGCAGGTGCAGCATGTCCCTCCCTCGTCTTGAACCCGCAGCACCCAGGGACCACACAGGGCCGTGGTGCCAAGGGAGGAGCAGGTGGCGGTGGGGGACGAGGAGCCCACCGAGGGGCACATCTGCCCCCACACACCCATTGCCCTGTACCCAGCAGGGTGTTGGACCCACACGGGGCGCTGCTCGGGGCTTCCTGCTTGGGGTGCAGGTGCTGACGGGAGCCTGCGGTGCCTGCAGGAGGGGACAAGAGGGGAGGCAGGTGGCCCTAGGGGACCCCACTGGCGGATGGGATCTGTGTGCTTATCCCCATGGGGCTCAGGGTGCTGGTGGCCCTGGCATGAGGTGTCTCCTCTGCTCCCCCAGGTCCTGGGCAATGCCACTGCTGCCCGCTACGTCGCTGGCCTGGGGGTTCACTGGTACCTGGACAGCATTGTCCCGGCCAGCTGCAGCCTGGAGGCCACCCACAAGCTCTTCCCTGACCATTTTCTCCTCTACACGGAGGCCTGCAGTGGCTTCCTCACCCTCCGCTTCTCTGTGTCCCTGGGCTGCTGGGAGCGAGGAGAAAGCTACAGCCACAGCATCCTGACGGTACGGCCACCCCCAGCACTGCCCGCCCGGGGCTGGGGGCCCGCCTCAGTGCCACTCAGCCCCTTCCCCGCCTGCCCAGGTCCTGAACCACTTTGTGGCCGGCTGGACCGACTGGAACCTGGCCCTGGACCTCCAGGGGGGCCCCAACTGGGTCAAGAACTTTGTGGATAGCCCTGTCATCGTGGACAGCAGCAAGGACGTCTTCTACAAGCAGCCCATGTTCTACCACCTGGGGCACTTCAGGTGGGTTGGGGCCGGGGAGGCTCAGGGGCTGCTGCCAGCCCGGGACTGGGGGCACGATCCCTCCCCTGCTCCTCTTCCTGCAGCAAGTTCATCCCCGAGGGCTCCCGGCGCGTGGGGCTGCACAGCAACCGCCGGTGTCTCATCTGTCAGCTGGAGCACGTGGCCGTCCTGCGCCCTGACGGGGGCCTCGTCCTGGTGGTCCTCAACAGGTCAGAGGGGCAGCCCAGGTGGGGGGACGCTCGGCTCTGGCTGTGCCGACCTGCCCAGCCCCTCTTGCCCCCCAGGTCCGGCTGGGACATGCCATTCTGGATCCAGGACCCCGCTGTTGGTTTCATCGAGACCATGGCTCCAGCCAACTCCATCCAGACCTACCTGTGGCGTGGGAAGTGATGGCCAGGGCAGGGCAAGAGAGGGCACCACGTGGCTGGGGGGTCTCTGGGGGTCCCCTGCCCTTTCCAGCATCCTTCAATGGTGGAAGCAGGCGGTGACCCACCACTGCGGGTACAGGATGGACCAAGAGTCCTGCCCCTGCACTAGGGGCTGCATGTGGTCCTGGCGCTGGGGTCCCACCAGGGCTGCCACCACCAGTGCTTCCCAGCCTTCCCCATCCCTCCCCGGTGTCCTCCAGCCCCCTGAAAGCTCCTGCTGCAGCGTCTCCTGGACCACGCTTCCACACGTGGCTCCCTTAAAACCTTTGCATGTGTCTCGGGCGCCAAGTAAAGCTGTGACGCGCTCTCTCCGGTATGTGCCGTCCCCGTCAGTGTTTCCTCTACGCTCTCGGAAATTGCTCGGTTTTCCTCAGAAAGGCGGCAAAGGGCAAGGGGTACCCCAGAGGGCTCTGTCCCCTGGCCCGTATGTGGCTGCCTTGTTTATTGCTGCAGCTGGAGACTCAGCTGCTCGCCAGCTCTTGATTGGTTTCATATGTCCCATTGGTTTTCCCCAGACTACTATTTTTTAATTTTTTTAAAATTTTTTTTATAATCCAAATATCCTGTTGTCCCAGGGCAGACACTGCCGAAAAGGCTGAGTAAATTGTATCAGTGTCCCCATCCACCAGACCTCACAGACAAATTAGGTTGGTGCCATCTCTTCCAGAGCTCATGCTCCGCTGGTGTGGCCTCCGGACAGACTCCCCTCTGTTCTGGCTGCGGCCAACATTGAGCTGGCAGCCCGCAATTACCTGGCTATCTTGTTTGCTCTCTTTAAATACCAGTTACAGTATTTGCTTGCTCCAGCCTTTGGGAACGTTACCAGCATCTTTGAAGTCCTGGAATGAGAAAACCAGAGCACTCCTTGGCAAACTCCCCTTGTGTGAGAGCTGTGGAGTTGCTGACACTAGGGGAAAAAGGAAAAAAAAAAAAAAAAAAAAAGAGGTTTAACAGCTGTTTTCTTGGAGTACAGCATGAAGGCAGCACCGGGCTCCATCTCAGCCCTGTTCACAGAGCGCATCTGCCCGTCCTGCACTTTTATCAATGTTCCTGGGTAGCGCTGGCCCAAACTTGATCCCTTTGCTGGACCAAGATAGAGCAAAGCTCTGCCAGGCAGGGAAGGCGCATACGTGGCCCTGCACCCCCAGATGTTCAGCAGTGCTTAAGGATGTGTGTGCAGGGAAATGCTTCAGTGCAGCCCCTCCAGATGGGCTCTGTGCTCCCTGGCCGTCTGCAATCCCATCTGCTGCAGGGCTTGTACCTTCCCCTTGTGCTGAAAAGCTGACGGGGAAACCAAGGGATGCAACGTCCCCAGTGGTGGGTGCGAGGGGCTGGGGGGAAGCTGGAGGAATTGCCCCCATGGTTCCCACTGGCTGCAGCCTCTGCTGGGCGGGGGGGGTGTCTTTGCTCTGGCTGCAGTGGCAGGAGTGGTCCCTGGGTGAGGGGCTGCCTCCCCAGCCACCCACACAAGTGGCATCAGGGGGACCGCGGGGCCAGGCTGGGCAGATGCTGCCTCTCCTGTGGCTCTGCCCCACTCCTGTTTCTCCTGATGGGCAGGTGCCTGCAATTAGGAAGGATCCCAAATTAGAAGGTGCCGAGCCCAGACTTGTTTTGCAGATGATAAACTCCTGCAGCCTGCTCCACCCAGCCCAGCTGCGGGCGTGGGGCTCAGGCGGGGGGGTTACAGCCCCACGGCAGGGGTGAGCAGGCCCCTGGCAGGCAGCACTCACAGCCCCCCACTGTACCTGAGCGGCTGCAGGGCCCCAGCAGAGATGCCAAGGTGGGCACGGTGAACCCTAACCCTGCCTGGGCCAGTCCTGGGGGACAAGGCTGCTTTTGTGGGGCTCTTTGAAAGGGGAGCACTGCACTGGGCACAGGTGGCTGCAGGGGGGTCCTGTCTGGGGTGATGGAGGCACTTGGGGGCTGGTGGGCATCCCACCCTCCCCAAAACTTCCCTCTGGCCACTGGGGCAGGTTTCAGGGGAGCTTTGCAAATGCTGCGGTGAGTGTTGAAAGTTCTCATCGGAGCCAGGTTGCAAAATCATCCCCGGGCTCCTTTTCAAAATGCACAAGAGTCCCATGAGCTGTCTGTCCTCTCCCGGACTCACCTTTCCTGCTCTGCCAGACGCCCGTCACCTCCCACCACGCACAGCCAGGACACAGGTCCTGCCGCCCTGCTGAGACGCGGCGAGAGGGTTTTGTGGCAGCAGGTGAGTACCCTGGGTCCGCAGCAGCTTCATCAGCTGGCAGAGATGGGGATGGCCCCGAACAGCAGGACCACGCTGAGGCCATGCCCACGGCGCCGGGCATTGCCCCCAGGCAGGGAGCGGGAGGCGATGGGGGCAGGAGAGCCCACCTGGCCCTGGTTCCCATCCTGCATAGTCTCGGGGAGCAGCATGCTGGGGTCACGTCCCACCCTTGCCTCCCCCTGCCTCTGGGCAGCACCTGGCACCGGGATCCTGAGGCAGAGTGGAGTCTGCTCTCATGCTCTCTCAAGAAGCTCCTTGCCCAGTGTCACGGGAAGGATGTGGGCAGGGTGGGGACACCTGCAGAGAGCAGGGAAATGCAGGACCCCTCTGCGCCGGGGGCTTGAGCCCCAAACCCCTCTGGCTGGGCAAGCCCTGTCTGCTGTGCTCATTCGGTTGGGAACATGGATCCCTTTGCTCCCGGCTGTGGCTTGGGAGTCACCAGGCACATGTGGAGCAGCGTGGCACAGCATGGCACGGCATGGCATGGCACAGCATGCATGGCATGGCATGACACAGCCCAGCACCACTGGGGGATGAACAAGGAGGGAGAAGGAGTGGGAGGGAGGCGATGGGAGTGAACGGAGCTGCCGGGTACAGCTGGCGTGGGTGGCTGGGAACGCCAGCCTGGTGGGCGGGGGGCAGCACACACCCGGGGGGCTGCACCTCCGGCTGGGATGTGGGCCCTGGCAGGGCAGGAGGGAAGGTGAGCATTGGGGAGTGGGCAGGACAGCAGGGGCTCAGCCCTGGCTGGGGGTACTGGTGCTGCCCGAGGTTCCTAGGCAGGGGGAAGCTGGGGCTGTCCCTGGCCTGGGTCTCTGACGCCACGTGGGGATGGGACAGGGCGAGAGGAGCAGGCTGCTGACACTTGCCACCCTGCTCCCAGCCCTGGTCCTTGCCATCAGCATCCATCCAAGCCGCACTGCAGCAGAGGTGACATGGGGCCTGGGTGCACTGCTCTCCTGGGCTGGCTCCTGCTGGGGCAGGCAGCGTTGCGGGCAGCAGGTAAGTGCTGGCACCATATCCCCGGGCTGCTGAGGTCAGCGGCTTGCAGTGGCACAGACATGGGTTCGGTACCCGTGGTGGGTTGAAGGGGTGAGCTGGGCTCCTGCCGCAGCCCCCTGTGCCTGCCCGCTCTCTCTCCTCCTGACGCAGGTGGCCGTCCCTGTGATGCCAAGGACTTTGGTCACGGCTCGCTGGTGTGCGCCTGCAGCGCCACGTACTGCGACACGCTGGACCCCGTGGTGCTGCCGGCCCCGGGCACCTACGTCAAGTACGAGAGCAGCAAGGCTGGCAAGCGGCTGGAGCGCAGCGAGGGGAGCTTCCAGCACAACGCCGAGATCCCAGGTACCCGCTGTGGCCAGACCCTCACACTGGAGAGCAGACTCTGTCCCTGCATGGTGGCTGCAATGATGTTTGTCCCCAGCAGATTTCCATCTCACCCTGGACACGGCACAGCGGTACCAGAAGGTGAAGGGCTTTGGTGGCTCCATCACTGATGCAGCTGCCATCAACATCCAGTCCCTGTCCAAGGATGCCCAGAACCACCTGCTCCGCTCCTATTTCTCTGAGGAAGGTGGGCCTGGGGCAGGGCGATGCTGCTGGGTGATGGGGCTGGGCTGCCCACCCTCCCCTCCTCAGCATCTGGCTGAGCCTTGTGCCAAGAGGCTGGGAGTCTCCTGGAAGCCAGGGGGGCTGCACCCTCTGAATACCCCAGCCATGCCCATCACTGCCCGCCCTGTCCCCAGGCATTGAGTACAACCTCGTGCGTGTCCCCATGGCCAGCACCGACTTCTCTGTGCGCCTGTACACCTACGCTGACGCGGAGGGTGACTTTGAGCTGAAGCACTTCAACCTGACAGAGGAGGACACACGAATGAAGGTGAGTCCCACAGGGTGAGCCCAAGGCCGCAGCCTGTGTGGGATGGGATGGGATGGGATGAGACGAGACGGGACAGGCTGTGCTGGGCTGGGGAAGGGCAGCACTTTTCTGCTGATGGGGAGGGAGAGGTCTTGTCCTGATGACTGCGATGCTGGTGCCAGGGCAGGCCTGGAGAGCTCACTGCCATGCTGGTTCTCCCCAGATCCCCATTCTCCAAGCAGCCCAGACAGTGGCCAAGCGGCCACTGTCGCTGTACGCCAGCCCCTGGACCTCCCCGGTCTGGATGAAGACAAATGGTGCGATGACAGGGAGGGGAACACTGAAGGGCAGCCCTGGGGACAAGTATCACCAGACCTGGGCCAAGTATTTTATCCGGTGAGGGGCCGCGGGAGCGCGGTGGGCACCAGAGTTGCTGTGTCTGGGGCTGATACTGCCGTGACAGGGCCGTTCACCATCTGCCCCCGCACCCAGGTTCCTGGACGAATACGCCAAGCACAACCTGACCTTCTGGGCGGTGACGGCGGGGAATGAGCCCACAGCCGGTGAGATCGTCTTTTACCCCTTCCAGTGCTTGGGTTTCTCCCCCGAGCACCAGCGGGACTTCATCGCACGGGACCTGGGCCCCGCACTGGCCAACAGCTCCCACCGCGACATCCAGCTCATCATCCTGGACGACCAGAGGGTGATGCTACCCTACTGGGCCCAGGTGGTGAGTCTCCACAGTGGCTCTCTTGTCCCCGTGGCGGCTCTCCCAGCCCTGGGCACTGGTGACTCCTTTCTCCCACCAGGTTCTCAAAGACCCTGAGGCCGCCAGCTACATCAGTGGCATCGGCATCCACTGGTACCTGGATTTCCTGGCACCTATTGACCTCACGCTCTCCATCACCCACCACCTCTTCCCAGACTATTTCCTCCTCTCCACGGAGGCCTCCGCTGGCTCCTACTTCTGGGAGCCCCGGGTGGTGCTGGGCGGCTGGGACCGTGGGACCAAGTACAGCCACAGCATCCTGACGGTGGGGCTCGGCGGGGGCTGCGGATGCACCGGTCACCCCCTGTGCCCGCCCACGCCTCAGCACCATCACCTGCCCCATTGCAGAACCTCAACAACTATGTGACTGGCTGGACCGACTGGAACCTGGCCCTGGACCTCCAGGGGGGGCCCAACTGGAGCAAGAACTACGTGGACAGCCCTGTCATCGTGGACAGCAGCAAGGATGTCTTCTACAAGCAGCCCATGTTCTACCACCTGGGGCACTTCAGGTGGGTCAGGGCCAGGGGTGGCCGGCAAGGGGCTGCCATCCCAGGCCCCATGCTCAGGGCCTGCTTGTTCCTGCAGCAAGTTCATCCCTGAGGGTTCCCGGCGCGTGGGGCTGGCTGTCTCCAAGAAGTGCCGCCGGTGTGACCTGGAGCACTCGGCTTTCCTGCGCCCTGATGGCGCCGTTGTCCTGGTGGTCCTGAACCGGTGAGTGGTTTCGTCCCACACCCCAGCTGGAAGCCCAGCTGCCCCCTCTGACCTCCAGCCCCTCTCGCATCCCCACAGCTCCCCCATGGACGTGGCCTTCGGGATCTCTGACCCACGGGTCGGCTTTATTGCGGCCGTGGCCACCGGTGACTCCATCCAGACGTTCCTGTGGAAGCAGCCGGCCTAGCACCATGGCAGTGGAGGAGGGAGGTGCCGGCACCAGGAGCAGGGTGCTGGTGGAGGGCTTGGGGATGGGTCCTGGCGCAGGGATGGGGCTGTGGCACAGCCCCATGATGCCCCAGGGGACCTGTTTGACCCAAGGGCTGCAATGCCTGCTCTTTTCTAGATGTTTTCATAAAATAAACAGGTTTTCTACAGCCTTGCCTGTGCCCCCTCCGCCCTCCCTTGCTGCCTGCTTGGGAGGCAGGACCATGCCAGGAGGTAGGTTTGGGGCCGACTGAGCCCCATGGGGTCCCACCATGCCGCTGCCTGGCTCCCTGGGGTCGCTCGGCTGGGAGCGGGCCCATACTGCAGGCAGACAGGGTGCTGTCACCCCGAGGGGCAGCATCTCCCTCCCCTCTGCCCACCGCAGCGTCCCCCAGGCAGGGCAGGGGCCCGGGGCCGACAGCAGCCATGACCCGCAGCCGGGGTTCAGGGCCGGGCCCTGATGTCAGCGGCTCCAGCTTCTCCTCTCAGCTGCAGCGGGCAGCCGCGTGCTGCGGTTTCTGCTGCCGGAGCAGCCATCAGCACCCCCTCCCTCCCCCCCCTCAGTTAATGGGAACCGGGAGCATCGACCTCATACTTCCCGAGTGACGTTATTGGGGAGCGGGCATGGGGGGGCTGCACTGAGTCATCCCCCTCCCGCTGGGGCCCCTCGAACTGGGCCAGTACAGGGGAGGCTCCGCAGCTGGCACCATGCCACAGCCCCCCCCGGCCATCACAGCCACGTTGTGGGGCACGTGTCTGGGGGACACAGCCGGGGGGCCCCCACGGGTGGCCGGCAGCAGCCCTGTGAGGACGCCGGTGGTGGCAGCAGCCGAACAAGTGAGGGCTGTGTGCCACCCCGCAGCCGGGGCGCAGCCAGCCTGGCCACGAGCCGCCTTTCCATTTGCGCACTTGTAAACTGTCCGCGGCCAGAGGAAACCGCGGCAGCAGGGCCATACCCGGGCCCCAGCCCCACGCTGGGGTGTCCCCAGGGAGCACTGCGGTGCTGCAGGGGCACACGGTACCTGGGTGGCTGCCACTGACCCCCCTGCAGCCCACGCAGCCCCAGCCACGCTGGCAGAGCCCATGCTTACTGTGTGACATGCTCTTGGCAGTGCCAGTGGCAAGGAACTCCCTGCTGCTGGCAGGCACGGAGGAATGCAAACAGAGCTGTCAGCTGGAGGGATTCCGGCTGCAGCCGCAGCCACTCGCTGCCCTGCTCGCACTGCTGCAGGGAGCCGGGCTCTGGGTGTCCCTCCAGTCCCTTCCAGGCTGGGGACATGTCCTGATGACAAGCCTAGGCCTCCTGTGCCACTGGTTTCTGCTGCGGCAGGCAGCTGGCCAGGGACCATCACCAGCTGTGCCACAGCTCTGGCTGGCAGCAGCATGGGGACCAGCCCCACAGCCACTTTGTGGCAGAGGGCAGGGATGCCACAGGGCAGGGGAGATGGAGGGGCTCAGCCCCACAGCTGCTACAGAAAGGATGGGGGATGCTGCTGAGATGCTCACAGATGCTTTTAGGAAGCTAAAATCCTGCATGTGACCCCTTTGACCCGTCCCCTTTGCACCCCGAGGCTGGGGATGACGGCTGCAGTACCAGGGCTAAGCAGGACAGGCATCGGGGCAGCCCATCGGTGCCCACTGCAGCGCTCCAGGCTGTGCAACTGGAGAAACTGGGAAGGGCCCTGAGCTTGCTGGGAGGAGAGGGTGCAGGCGGAGAGAGGGAGGTTTATTGGCCTGGCAGGTGTGCTCCCCGCCAAGGGGGCTGCGATTCCCGGCAGGACACAGAGTGGAGACCCGCAGAGAACGCCGCCGCCAGGCTCCCGGCGTAAAAACAGTCAGTTCCAGGGGCTGGAGGAACAGTCGCACAGCTCTTCCTCACTCCTCCTCCTCCTCTTCCTCCTCCGCCAGGGCAATGGGCTGGCGGCCAGCTGGCCCTGCACCACCGCCGCGCTGGATGGAGACGATGCCACTCAGGAAGGCATAGCCCAGCATTGCCACCAGCCCCACCAGCACGGACAGCAGCTGGTTGCGCCGTTTGTGGGGGTCCTCCTCCACCTCACCGCCGTCGGCACCTGCAGCCCGTGGGGCACTGGCTGGGGGCTCACCTGGGGGGGACAGAGCAGGGATATGGAGGGGGACCAGGTCACCCTGAGCCCAGAGGGTGAGGCAGGGGGATGCATCTTACCTCCGTCCCAGGGGAAGTAGAGGCTGAGGATAGAGGTGCAGTAGTTGCACAGGTTCTGCAGGGACTTCAGGTGCTGCTGCAGTTTCCCGTTGGGCAGCTTCGCCTTCAGGAGCGGCGCCAGGCGGCTGAAGACGAAGGCATCAAGGGAGGCCGGCCTGGGGCACAGAGACCTGCAACTGGGTCACTGTCCCTCCACCATCCCCACCCAAAGCCACCTGGTCACATCGTCCACTCCCAGCATCCCAGGCAATGGCTCCTCCACAGGAGGGCTTGCTGCTCCTAGCCCCTGAGGTGAGGATAGGGGGAGCAGGACCTTCCCACCCCACAGCAGGTCTGCTGGTGGGGACAGAAATGCTGAGGCCAGTGGCAGCTCCTGCAGCCTTAATTCCTGCCACTCGCACCACTCTGTGGTGCCATGGACAGCCCTGGCCCCTGTCAGCCCACCCAGCCCCCAAAGCGACATGCACAGGCTGTGGCTTCCCAGGGTGTGTGGAGCTCTCAGGCCCCAGAGCACCTTCCCCTTCCAGCCACCTACGAGTCTCCGAAGAAAAACTTCTGGGAGCCGAGACGCTGGGACAGGAGTGTCAGGCATTCCCGAGCATCCCGGTAGAGCTGGAGGAGGAGGACAGAGGGTTGTCACCCACCCGGCCACGCGGCAGACAGCCACGGTGCTAAGGGGAGTGGGACAGGGGTGCTCAGCCAGGGCGAACCCCAGGCCTCAATTAAGATTTTGGCCTCATGTGGGTCCCTCTGGGCACCCACCGAGGACCCACTGTGCCCCGACCACATCCCCTCACCTCCTTCTCCAGCTTCTCCTCATCCTCCATGTAGCCATCTCCCCACATGAGCTGCAGCCGCTCCAGGTGCTGCTTGTGCATGGAGTTGGGAAGGAAGAAGTTGAGGGGGAAGGGAATGGTTTCCGCATACCACTTCCGTGTGTGCTCCACATAGTTCTTCGCGTCTACCCAGAAGGTGTGGATCTGCAGCAGAGAACGATCCATGCCCAGGCTGTGGTGGGGCTGGAGCAAGTACAGCCTCTTGCCGTGGCAGAAGCCACGGAGCTGGTGCCTGGCGCCGCTCACACTGATGCGAGCCCAGCACGGGACTGGCTGCCCCGGAGACCGTGAAGGGCTGAGAGACCATCAGGGTCAAGGCCAGAGCCCAGCCCTGGCTGCACAACCCACTGCTGCCCCACAGGACCCCTGGCATCCCGATCCCTGCTATGGATGCTCCAGGCCCCTGGGATTTTGCTGCCTGGACTGCTCTCTGGCCAGGGGGACACACACCGGAGCCCACCAGCACCCCACCAGGGAGTGGATTCGGTTGTCAGTGTCCCTCATGCGCCCCCCTGAGACTCACCAGCACCGGCAACAGCTTCTCTTCCAGCAGGGACACGAAGGCCAGCGTGTCCGCCCCTTGCGTGGCCGAGAGGTCGTAGTCAGCATTGTACTTCTGCAGAGCAAACACAACGGGCGTGATCCAGCGGGGAGGCAGCAAATCCTGCCTAAGCCTCTTGGGTGACCCCCACAAAGCATGGAGGAACAAGCCCCCTCCCTCCCCAGAGGATGCCCCTTGTTCCCCCCCTACCTGTTTCCTGAGGTGAGTTATGATCTGCTGTGTTTTGGAGATGGTGCCCTCATCCCGCGTCTTCAGCGCAGGCAGGCGGCCTGGGGGCAGGCAGAGGGGTGGCTGCAGGCAGCGGTGCCTGTGGTGCCACCCTGCCGTGGGCCAGGGGTGCGGGGGGCCGTGAAGGGCCCCCACGCTCAGGTGAGGGTACATAAAGCCAAGGGACAAGTGGATGTGGTGGGGGGCATATAAGGTGGGGCAGGGGGGCACAGGGACACAAGGGGTGTGGGCGAGAGAGTGAAAGCTGTGAGCAATGGGAGACAGGGAGCGTGCTGGGACAGAGTGGGTGCAAAATGTGATGGGGGGGGCAGTGGTGCGACGAGGAGACAATGGATAAGAGCGGGTGCAATGGAGTGGAGGGGTGCAATGGGGTGAGAAGAGCATGCGACGGTGGGGGGGTGCGATGGGGCAGGGGGGCTGTGATGGGACAGGGGGATGAGGGTGGGATGGGGCAGAGGATGAGATAGAGGGCAGGGATGCACGATGGGG